TATATCATATGTATAAATTATATTTTTAATTTTAAATCAAAAAATAATAATTTTTTAATAAATATATTATACAATATATTAAACAAAAATATATATCAATTATTGTTCTACTAATTAATGTCATTTGGCATGATCAAAGTGCATTGTTAGCCTCGATAAAGTTGGCCGAATGATATGTAGAATTGCAAAGAAATATTGAAGGCGATTTCGATATTAAAAGAAGTAGAAAAAGAAAGAAGAAACACTAAAAATTTTTAATTTTTAAACTTTGGGGAAGGTAATTTTGGATCAGACAATATCCTTACCAACATTGGTCAATAAGTAGTGGAGTCAGAAATTTTTCTTTTGAGAGTGCAAAAAAGAAATTTTCATCGAGAAATAGTATTGTAATATTTTTGCATCTATCGAAAGCCTATTGGGTGAAAATTATTTAAATAAAAAATTAATAAAATTATAATATCACGTGATATTATAAGTTTATATTATAAATATATCGTTACATAATTAATTATTTTTATTCAAAAACTTATCTATAATATTATATATATATCTACTTTTTTATTAACACCTCAAGATTATAAACTTGCAATCATACATAATATTATAACTACAACATTAATTTAAAAAAATTATTTTAAATAATATATATTAGTCTTTAACAATGAATTAGAAGGGATTGATAACATATATGCCATTGATTGAAGGACAAGAATTAGCATATATTGTCTGGAAGAATATTAATGAACAAATTAGAGAAAATATTGTTGTAAGCAGAGAGTTATAGATGCAATTGTTGTGAGCAAGGCAGTTCCAAGAACCTTTCTTAAGGATAATAATTTTCACTTTTCTGTAGGAAACGTTATCCTCAGAATACAATACCTATTAAAATAAACTTTAATCACCCAGCCAGTATACTGAAAATTGAAAAGCAAAGTATAGAAATTCAACGAAGAAGAAGATGAAGAAAAAAAAACTCAAAGTGTTTTCGGAAGAGTTAAATCTTTTTTTTTTTCTTGGGACTATGTTATTTATCTACAATTCCCAATCGGTGTCTTTACACTGGTATAAAATAGATACATCCTTCAAGAATCATAACTCTATGGGATATGATATATTTATATCAGATAATATATCAAGCCTTTTGCCCATTAGAGACGGTTTTCTCCAATTTAAATTCAATTTTCAACCTGTAGACAAAGCAATTACCAAATAGGTTTCAACCACTCCTTATCTTTATCTTTTTCTTTTTCTTCCTTGTCTAACATCGCCCCATGTTTCAAGCCTTTAACTGTATCTGCATCACATGCATCCCTTAAAGTCAAAAGTGAAGTATATATATAATAACATATATTATAAAATATTATATAAAAT